GCATTATGCTCATCTTTCTCAACACCGATTCCAATATGATAACAATTACCCACTTGACAAATTCCTTCAGAATTACCCATTTCAGCAGCCATTTGATAATGAATAAATGCCATATGTTCATCCTTCTCAACCCCAATTCCATTTTGATAACAATCTGCAATTTGACACCTGCTTTCAGAATGACCCATCTCAGCAGATTTTTGAAAATAAATGAATGCTTTACGTTCATCTTTTTTAACTCCAAATCCATTTTTGTAACAACATCCAGTATTATATATTCCATTACTATCCCCTAAATCGGCAGATTTTTGATAATAAATAAATGCTTTGTGTTCATCTTTCTCAATTCCGATTCCATTTCGATAACAATAACCAAGATTAATCATTGCAAAAATATGTCCCATATCAGCAGACTTTTGATAATTAATAAATGCTTTATGAATATCCTTTTCGGTTCCAATTCCATTATCATAACAACAACCAAGACCAAATATTCCGTTAGCATTTCCCATCTCGGCAGATTTTTGATAATATTCGAACGCCTTTTGTCCATTCTTTTCAATCCCAATTCCATTATAATAACAATGACCAACTTTATACATTCCATAAACATTTCCCATTTCAGCAGATTTTTGATAATAAGTAAATGCTTTATACTCATCTTTTTCAATTTCAATCCCATTCTGATAAAAATGACCAAGGTTATACATTGCATTATCATTTCCCATCTTGGCGGATTTTTCATAATATTCAAGCGCCTTATATTTATCTTTTTCAACACCAATTCCGTTATAATAACAAGTACCAACTGCATATATTCCATTAACATATTGCATCTCAGCAGACGCTTGATAATGAACAAATGCTTTATATTCATCCTTTTCAACTCCAATTCCATATTGATAACAATAACCGAGTCCAAATACTCCATTGAAATTTTTCATATCAGCAGATATTTGATAGTGAGAAAATGCTTTATGTTCATCCTTTTCAACCCATTTTCCGAAATGGTGGCAATTTGCGAGAATACTTTGAACAACATCATCAGTTTGATTTTTCAAGAGCCAATTAATTATTTCATCTGGTTTTTGCTTATTTTTTATCAAAAATTGATTCATAGTATCAAGAATCGATTTAGGACTTTTAGATTTTACACTTTCTTCTTTATACAAGTTACATAATTTTTTAGCGACTTCATCAAGAAAATTTTGTGAATTACTTTCTTCGCATATATTTGAATGTAAATGGTCAGTATTATTAGATGAAAATGACATTGTCAGAACGTTTTGGAAATGAATGTTTGAATACAGTACTTTGTTGTTTGAAATTTAATTTTAAGAAAGGAATTTATACAAATTTGTATTCCCTGTATGTCGAACAAAATTGGATCATTGACCAATCAAATCAATGAACTCATAAAACAGGCGAAACTTAATATATCATGTGTTTGGCCAGTTAGATTGTGTATGATCTTACTGTACTATTGTTTATTAATTATATAGTGAATAGAAATGCATTTTTAATCACTTTCTAGAGATACTACTGTATATTATTAATTAACTACTACTTGCGTTTATCTCTATTTTTTACTTGCATTTGTGTTCATCACATAGGAAAAATTTACTCTTTATTACTTGCATTTGCACCACCACATAAAAAAACAGCCATGAAACTTTATTCTCCTTAGTAATTATGAATCCCGAATACAGTCAAACCTCTCTAAGTGCAAGGTAAATGTGCATTTATGGAAGGTGCGCAATTATGGAAAATTCAATTAGCCAATTCAAAGCGAGGAAAATATACATATGATTGATTCAGCCCTCTCTAATTACAGGCTCTTAAAATTGAAGGTAGATATACATTTAAGAGCGTAAATTTTATATTTTATTGGTCAAATTTTTATATTATCACGTGTATGCATTTATAGAGTCAAAAAACTTACGCACATGCAGAGAGTAGAGAGTGTGCAAGCTAGAGTGTTCATTTATGAAAGTGTGCCCTTATTGAAGGGCGCTTAGGGAGGTTTGACTGTAATTACAAACTTTTTATATTACTGCGTATGGTTTATATTATTAATTGTCCGAAAGACACTACAGATAGAGCAATAATACACCCGATGTCTGTGTTAACAAATTCTGAATTATGATTGGCCAAATCAGGTGTAACATAAAAGAAAACAATCAAACAAAGGTAGTCGATGTTTATTGGCTAGGTGTAATATAAAAAAATCAGTACCTTTTTTTATATTTAGTCCTTCGGACTTTAATAGTTTCTATTTTCCTAATACTGTATATCATTGCCGAAAAGTAACGAGGGCGACGTTAGGCAAAAAAAAAACAAAAAAACAAATGAAATTCGAAATACCCCAAATAGAACATAGGATTACGAATAAGCATTTGTCTAACGGATGACATATCTGAATTTATATAAAATGTAACAAATAGGTCTATATTTATACATTAATATGATTTTAATACATATATATAGTATTTATAATCAATACTAATATGTTTAAATTTTTATTTAACTAACATTTATTAATAAATATATATTGTTTAAGTACTTAATAGATAAGGAAAACGGATAAGCACAGGCTATCCGAATAAATTAAATGAATATCCGGATTTCCTAAATGAAACGGATACGGAAAACGAAATATCCACTTTATTAAGACCAAAGCACTACTACTAGTTTAAAGCTGACGTAGTATATAAAATGTAATAGGGAATGTTCGAATTAACCAACTAAGAATAAGCAAAAAATTAACAAGACAAAAATCAAGAAATTAACAATATCTGTTTAAGCTAATGCCCTTAGTTATTTTAAATCGCTAAATATTTATAAAACTAATCTCAAAGCCATGATTTAACAATACCACGACTACTCTACATATTATATTGAAAAATGATACATACCATTTTAACGGAATAGTGATAAATATTTTGAAAATTTTGCAACTTAAATTTTGATTCTGTAATGATACTAATTAATAAGGCCATTATCCTTATGAATCTCTTTCACATCATAATTATCTTCCCATTCTTTCTTAAAAACCCAATTCCTTACTGATCCGTGTGATAAGAAGGAAGTATCACCATTTAGTTCAATTTCCCAGTTTCCTCCATTTCTTATGCATTTTGTCAAAGAACACGTAGCACAATTTATCATTGCATATATTTGTTTAATTAAAGCTCTTACTCCAGTGAATGTCGATGTTGCGTGTGAAATTATTAAAATGCTTCTAATATCCTCTTTTACTTCTATAAAACCTTGTATAGTTCTGCTTAATCTCTCGTGAAGTTCTTCTGAGGTTTCATTGATATCAGGTAGCTTTGATATAGAAATATATGTAGGATTGATACGTGGAAAAAATTCACGTAAAAGAGGGAGGGGAGCGCATCCAGCATTAAGTTTATTTATCCTAGGACTACACCATTCACTATTATTCAATAATGATTGATTAGTTCTTTAAAAATAATTTTGAAAAAATTATTAATATCAATAAACAGAAAAAAACCTTAAACCATTTTCTAGAAAAATATCTAAAATTAATTTTTTCAGCAATTATATTTGCAGTCTCTACTGCACGATAAAGAGGGCTAGAATAAATGCGATCAATCTTTATATTATTTACCACAAAATATTGACTAAGCTCTCGAGACTGATTGTATCCAAAATCAGTTAATCTAGGATCCCAGTTTAATCCTGTCGGGTAGGCATATTTATCATTTGGGTCTGGGTTATCCCAACTCATTTTATAACCATGCAAAGTAGCATTAGTATTAATTATATTATTTTTAAATTAAATCATTTTTTTATTCTCACCCGTGCAAAATATATCGTTTCCAACATTTTTTACTATAAGGAATTCCAAGAAAATATCAGAGCGATATTTATGATTGTTCAGGGTTTTGCGGGAGGACATTTTATAAGCTCATAAAAAGGCACAAAATACTGCTTGTGCAAGTTTATGTTAGTATACATAATGAAGGATACAAATGTATAATATCATTATTTTCTGAAAATTATTCCATTTCTCCGATGATATTCACAATCGTAAAAATTTTGGGTTGTCGGCAATTTATAAAATTGGCAATTTACAAAAAGGGTTTATGAATTTCAAATTTGGGCAAAAATATACGTATAAACTTAGCCAAACTTTAGTATTTGTTACATATTTAATCACATTATCTTTTACAGTACCGATTGTATATATTTCAAATTGTGCTATGAAATTCCTCGGCATTAACGTGTTATTTAACTTTGTCCGAATCTTCACTATACAATTGATAAATGAATGTTAAAAGAAAATTTTTGGATTTGTCACGTTAATAGTTCATTTACATTTATTTACGTAATTGAACACGAATGACATCACATCAAATAATTTTCAGTATTACGCATGGTTAATAAGACTCTTAAATTTAGTTTTTAAAAGCGAATCCTTTTTATGGTTATTATTAAACCGAATATTAGAATTGTTCATTTTTTAAAAGTAAGCAATTATATCATACTGTCTTCCTCCTATATAGTCACCTCCTATATAATCACATCATAGTAAAACACTTTTTATAATCACGCCAAGGCCTGCAACACTTTACTAATAAACTTGTAAAAAATACTTCTTTATAAGCACATCATAGTAAAAACTTTTATACAATCACACAGTTTGCATGATACGGACTGCGTGATTATAGAGGAGGACGACAGTACATTTGCTAGAGTGCGATGAATTCGTTAACTTACTTATTACAGGATTTAAATCACACTCCAAATTTCGTATTCGGAGACAATTTCCGGTCTAATTTCATATATATATATATATATATATATATATATATATATGAATGAGAATTGATTTAAAATTATCAAATATTACAAATAGACTAATTACGGAAAAAAAATCCGGGATTTCCGACTCTATTAGAATGATTATTCTGATCAAATAGTGGCCCTTAACCAATAAAATCAATAAAAATTTTAAAAGCGAAGGATTCAGTATATTACAGTATTATGAAGTTTATACATCTTAATCACGTGTACAATGGAAGTCTATGCTGCTCATTCTCTGCTGCGATAAACCCCAATACTGCCTACTTTACGATTATGCGAAATTATGCGATAAATTTTCTAGAATTACAGTACTCTAATGCACATGTAATTATTGAGATCAAATTTCAGTGGGCTGTCGCATGAAAATTTTGTATTTCATCACGGGTTTACACTAACCCAACTTTAGTAGTTGATGTCATTTGTGTATTTACCTTAACCAAGAGATTGGTGTTGCGATATCGATATTGTCAAATGTCGATGAGATGAAAGATTAATTATTGAAGGTAAAGATCAATCGGTTATATAGAAAAGGAAAAAAGATGGAGTTGTGAATGGTGCGTATAGTAGTTTGTATTACTGTTTGTGATTTGAAGCAAACGTAATACTGTAATAAAATTAGTACAATATTTATAGTATAGTACGCGAACCTTTAAGGAAAACTATTCAATACGTCAATAATGATCGTGGATGTTATTTCATGTATAAAATGCTACTAAATTGACTATTTGAATTCAGTTATTTCTTTTAGATTATTCTCATATGAGAGAATTGACATCTTTGAAATTCCTCACATACAAATGGAGATTTCGGTGACTTCTTATTTATAAACCTTGTGTAGAATTTGTGTGCTTTCACCCATATCATAACGTATATATGTTAGCCCCATGCGTTACTCTGTGTTCGCACAGGGATTTAATGCATAAGTATTGGCTGGTATTAGTATAGAAAACCAGTTATATATTATTTGTGTATTCATATAATTAAAAGCGACTACCTTAGTTAATTTATCATATGGTGCTCGCCTCTCAAAATCGACAGTGACAAGAATAAATAATTGTTCATCATAGGGTTTGAAACCAGTTTTATTTTCCTACATTAAACCCGATCAAAATCGTTTCAATATAGGAGAAAAAAACAGGTTCCAAACCCAATAAACCCTATCAATAGTACATACTTAAGATTACTATAGATAATTTTTAATTGCTATTGTAAAATGTTATCGCGTTTGAAAATTAAAACTTTGCACAAGATTTATTTCAAAGTACGTACGTACATAGCAAACAGGGGCATGACAATATTCGAATGAAATACCAGTATTCTATCTGTGTCGACTTTTCTTATTGTCCGGAGTAGAGTTGCAGGTGAAACTAATCTTCAATGGCGCACCGACGGTGCACCAGGTGAAACTAATCTTCAATGGCGCACCGATGGTGCACCAGGTGAAACTGGTACACCGATGATAAAACTAGAGTTATAGATGAAGCTAATCTTCAACGGTGCACCGATGGTGCACCAGGTGAAACTGGCGAAATTAATTAGTTTCACCTGCAACTCTAGTCCGGAGCTTAGCGGAGGACTTTATATGTTTATGTAAGGTGATACAAAAGTTATATTTTTGATGCAATAATAATTGTCTGGAGCGTAGCGGAGGACTGGATTCATAAAAGTTATGAAGTTGATCCATCATAGTGATAAATAAGAAAACAAAATCAAGAACATAACTTTGAAAAAGGATTATGTCCACACACGTGATTAAAGTTACGTTTTTGATGCATGACTAAGGCTCAGGATAACGCGGCAGATCCTCGATTTTGATTGGCTAAGAGCGACGATCAAAAATTAGGCCACAATTTTACTAATGAAATCGCAGCCACCCATTAATTGGCGGGCTTATTTTTAAAAATTTCTATTTTTGTAATAAAAAAATCAAAAAGTTAATTCCGGCCGGAATTAGTAAACAATTATGTAATGTGGGCCAAATTTTTGAAGATCCTCGGCCGTTAGGCCAGACCAATTTAATTCTTCGTTTAACATAACCCCCTCCCCCCTATTTTTCAAAATTTATATGAACCCAATACA